ATCTTTCGGAAGTGGAGTTTCGGGATGCATTGAGTGTCCGGTATAACAAAAACTTGATTGCTTCGCCAACTTTGTGTGATGGTTGCCAGTCACCATTCACCCTACGGCATGCGTTAGTGCGCAAAAAAGGTGGTCTCCTAACTTTACGGCACAATGAGATTAGGGATGCGACTTAGCTTCTTTAGTGTGGAAGGATGTACAGAGAGAGCTTGTTATTTGAGAATACAACCCGCAAGATGAGACACCCGCATTAATTGCAGATTTGTTTTGTCGGTGAGTTTATGTTAGACAGGGAGGAGCGTCTTTTGATATTCGTGTCTCTGACACCGACGCCGTCTCCTATCAGAACAGAAGACCCATAAGTGTTTTGAACACAGCAGAAGTTGAGAAAAAGACAAAATATTCAGACGCGTGTCAGGAAATACATATGTCTTTCACTACTCTTGTCGTGTCTGTTGATGGGATGCTTGCTCCAGAATTTGCAAGTTTCCTTCGGAGAATAGGAGAAGCATTATCTACCAAGTGGGAGAAACTCTATAGTAAAACTATGAACTGGGTGAGGTGCCGGCTGTCTTTTGCCGTGCTCCGTGCTTCCAGTGTGTGCTTCTGAGGCACAAAGACCAAGTGGAAGTGGAGGAGTCTTGGCTCAGACCATGATTTCTTACCCTAGAGAAATATGTACGGATGTTCTACAATGAAGAGAAATTGGCTAGCTATGTGCAGACTCTGCTTGTAATGTAAAACATGGACCTAAACGAAACAAAATGTTGTAAAAATGAACCAAATAGATAATTGACTGATTTTATTTGTTGAAAAAAAAATAATCTTCAGAGACATTTATCGAAATATCAGTTTTTTGTTTATTATTTTAGAGGACTACTTGGGACACCGTTTAAGATGGGTATCATTTAGTTCCTGTGGTAGTAGGTTTTTCTTCACATTTTTTTTGTTTTTTTTAGTAAGATCTTCTACATAGTCAATAGAACAAATCTTGCTTTTTCCAAGTGCTTCAAACAACTAAACAAAATGCTTTGACCGCCCCCACCCACTCAACTCTGGTTCCCAATGGTTCCCTTTTCAGTATAATTTTACGATCCATTTCTGGAGAGCATCAAACATTTTTTAAAGGCGCCTTTGGTGCCAATTTAACTAGTTTTGAGGGGAAAGCGCGCGCCAAAAAAAGCGCAATTTGTTCAAAACGTCATTTTTAGCGTTGTTTCAAAAGTTTGCCTGAAGCGCAGAAAATTTTTGAAAAATAGAGTCCTAATACTTGAAAAAAAAATCAAATCGATTAATCAAAAAAAAGGTCGACAAAACTTTTTCGAAAAACCACACCCCCTCTGAAAAAATTTCTGCGCACGCCACTGATCGTTATGTATTTTTTCATATTTTCTACGTAACAACTCATCAGTAATCGAGTTTTTCTTCGAAGCGTTGTTGGATTCAAGTTTAAAACTATTTTGATCAGCTTTTGTGATTTGAGTAATTTTGTGATGCATGTAAATTTTATCAACACAAGATCTAAGGTTGTTTGATTGTTTGACTTTTTTTACATGTAATTCTATGGTTCGGATGTCATACAGAAATTACGCAATTCCGTCTTTTCAATCATATCCGAACTTTTTTGTTACGATTGTTTCATCTATGATCCAGTCAACACAAAAAACAGAATTATCTGGAGTGCTCACGTTCTTTTAAACTATATATGTCAAAAATAAGTTTTTTTTTCATTTTTGCAATGTGAATTTTGTAATCCGCAGATAAAAATATATATATTTTTTAAATAATTATGTTCGAGAAAGTAAAATGTTTTTTACAGTTTCAAGAGAGTTTCTTGAGAGTATTTTGGCAAAAAAAAACAAGAAGTTTTTTGAAAATACAAAAATAAATTGAAATTAGTCGTTCATATTTTTGTTAGTTTTTCTATTAATTCGATTGATTTTATTGTGGTCGGAACATTTTATACCCTTAATTTAGTTTTGGGATAAAAGTAAACTGTGTGTACTCCAGCCATAAACATGTTAATAATACAGCGTCTGGCCCTATGATTTTTTATGAATGGAAAATTCTGAGAAGCCTCGTCCACTAGTGAAAAAAAGCACTTAATTGATTGGTCTATGCTTATTTCAGATGCGTGTTGCTAAATTGCTGACCTTTGCAAAAAAATTTGTGAAAGTGTACTGCGAGTGTTCAAATTTTGCATTGCTCTGAAAGCTGCTAGATATCGGTCGAAACAAAAATCAATATAATTATAGTTTTGCTGGCTTTTTTAGTGTGCTGGCTTTATATTATGCTGGCTTTTTTAATTCAAAAAAATTTTAAAACCACTTTGATACAATAATAGTTTTCTAATGAAACACAGTTGCCGCTTTCAAATTTCAAGGCAAAGTTTTAGATTGAATCATTAAGTTGCAGGTGTTGTGAAGTAAAATCTGTAAAAGTTTTCAAGATTTCTGAAAACAGGTCAAACAATCGCTTGAGGTCATTCACTTCCATGAATTGAATTGTTAAAATCGCTAGGTTTTTATCTATCGTCAAAACCGAAAAACGTTACAAGCGGTGATGCAACGAAAAGCTATACTAAATCTGTACTGGCCCCAAAATCAAAAAGCTCTAATAAACCTCGAGGAGAGTCGTAGATATAGTAAGAAGGCAAGTTGTAAGAACGATAGATAGTTCCCAAAAGGAAACTTAGCGAAACTACTACCGCTACTTATGCAGCCGGGTTAAGAAAAGCAGCTCGACTATGCTGGAACAATACCATAGAAGGAAGAAAATACTTAAAGTCGTAGATAAAATTGCTCTGTTTTCCTACGGTGAAAAACACTAAATCAACCGGTAGTAAATTGGCTTAAAAATTGTGCAAGTATACATTAACACTCACGGGTTCTCAGAATCTATAAAAACATATCAACTCTCAGCTTTGAATGGGGAAATATTTGAAGCATTTTCGTGACAAAAGCAAGATTGAGCAAACATTTTACCCGATGGGGATTCACAGAGATGTTGAGTTTCTCGAAATGACCATAAATACAAAGAAAAAAAAGGTTTGGAGTTATGCTACTCGTTGAAGACAAAAAGTTGCTAAAAATTGGCCTCAGCTGGATAATTGGAGACTTCACATAGAATAAACAGAAAACAAAACAAAGATCAAGTTTCGAAGCACTTTTTACACAGACATCAAAAAATAACATAAATTAATCAAGGATTTTAAGCTAGTTCTGATTCATCAGAGAGAGAAGATTAGAGTGGTCAGCGCTAACAGCCTCGCAAAATGATCAAAGAATAGAAAAATTGCGAGAGAACGTCAAAATTGCCAGAAAGAGAAAGAAAAACAGATATACGAGCCGTTTTTCAAACAACAACTGTCACCAGTAAGGAACAAAAATTGAGCTTAAGTACTCGAAGTTTTGCTTACGGCAAATGCGAGATGGATTGCGGGAAGAAGAGACGCAGCCAAAAATTACACCCGTAAAGTTGTAAGCTTTATAGAATAAAACACCGAAATTAAAGAGAGTGAGGCGGGGAAAACAAAAAAAAAATACTCTACTTAGGCCGGGAAACAGCCTAAGGGCAACAGCCCAAGTGGAATCGGAAACAGAACATAAAATAAAAAAACTTTAATACAAACGACTGGGGAATCCTTATAATGAAAAAAGACATAACTCAAGCTAAAACAAGCATAATAGAGAAAACTTTTGAGTAAAATTATTCAAATTTATACGCTCATCTGAGGGCATAACTTTTAGGTGCCCCAAGTCTCGGAATTTTTATAATGAAGTCTCGGTACTGAGTGAACGAACCAAAATGCTGCTTACATCTGCGTTTCAGACTGGAAAATTGCATTGGCTTTGCACTCGCCAAAGGTCCCAACTTTTTTCTTGAAAAGCAAACTAACAGAGTGGCGACCATCTTGTTGGGTTGAGATTGGATCGTCAAAGAGATTCGCAACAACTTTTTCTCCCTTCGATCGAGAGCATCGTTTTAAAGGCAGGTCCTCAAGTAACTAAAGCGGACCAAAATCCAGATTGAACTCCTGTCTGTTACTGTTCTAGTTACTTATAATTTTGATGAGAAAGACAAATATAACTGTAAAAAAAGATTATTTTCTTTTTTAGCTGAGTGTGGGAGATGAATTTAAAAATTATTTTGAGAAAATACCGTTTTTTTTCTCTCCCATAAACTGAGTTGGTGAGGAGCCTATACGGCTGATCCAAGTTTAGCTTCCATTTGTGTCCAGAGACACTTTATCGTCTGTCACCATTTTTGTTTCTAGTTTTTAGATGTTGCTATTCCAAGTTGCATAATTTGTGTTCCACCAAGTCGGTGCCAATTTAATTCAACCTATACGCAAACTTTTCTAGAAAACTAATAACGCATAAGCGAAATATAATCTGTTTAAGAAATTGTTCCAAAGTGGTTCAAGAAAGCTTATATGCCATAATTGATGGTTAAAAGGAGCAAAATCTATCACTTTGTACTGATTATGACGTGTGGGTGGATGTTTTCACAAACAAAAATCATTTTTTTTTTAATTTTTAATTTTTTTTCAAATGTTATTACTGCTCCATAGACCTTAAAAGGCAGTCGGAACATTTAGGCCGTCGCCCTGATACGAGCAGTTTTGTTCTTATATTGCAGCTCTTATGTCAAATCGGATACTTTTTCATACAAGAAAAGTTAATTAAGAACAGATACTGGAAAAGTTTCAATAAAAAAATTTTATAAACATGCTCAAGTTGCAAAAAACATGAAACTCAAGGATTGCTTATAGTTTACGTAACCTATCTTACCCCAAAAAAGCATTTTTCAGCTATTTTATCTCACTTTTCTTCAGTCTTAAAAGCAAACTCACGATTCTCCTCTCATTTAATTTTTCGCTCAACACTTCGAAAGTTTGCCCAGGACTGTTTCTGCATTTTTGAGGGTTTATAAACTTAATTTCTCCAAGATTAGAATAGATTTTCAAGTTTTTGAATAACTTTTGTCGGTTATTACAGGTGGGTGTTTTTGATAATTTGGCGGCTGCGCCTTCCATCAGTGGCAGAGTTTCGAATGAAGTCTACCAGCAACGGAAAAAGAGTGGCGTTTCTCTGTCCTCCAAAGTGGGTTATGCCAAGAGTGTGGGAGCGGCCAGTAGTTCACGTGACACCAGGAGATCGAAACAGACAAATAAGGAAATGAGTGTGAAGAATACGAAAGATTTCAAGGCTGCAGTCCAGGTTAGACAAAAATATATTGATTAACTTATGAATATGTTAACGGGCATTGCTCTGTAACCCAATTGGGTTCGTTAATTGTCCCCTCACTGTTTCTGGTGCTTCATGTTTAAATTCTCGTTATATGCATATTGACCATTAACAATGAGAAATAAATTCTTTCTTTCTTAATATGTACAGGTAGCCGGTAACGGATTAAAATGGTACGCTCTATTATCTCAATAACTTGGCCTTTTTGCCACAAAAAATGCTGGGCTTACAAGTGCCCAAAATTGCCAGCTAGAGAAGTTTTCTTTGAATTTCGCCAGCTGAGCAGGAAGTATAGACAAAAAAGATCTTCGGTATTTTCGGTCAGTTGACAGTTCGTCTGGTTCATATGACAGCTGTTTTTTTTACTTCGGCTAGTTTCTACATATAACCAAATTGAATTAGTGTAAAATTTTTAGGCCATTGAGAACGATGACCATTTGGAGCTGCAGAACCTGCTGGTTGATAACTGTGACTTGGTCAACTATCAGTTGATTGAAGCAAAAGGAAGTCCTTTTTTGGTCCATAAGGCCGCTGCACTGGACAGACCCCAGTGCTATGATGTGCTTGTTCAACATGGAGCAAGTAAGTTTAATTCTAAAGTTCCCTCCTCCATCACTCCCACCCCCAACCCTCTCTCGGTAATTCCAACCAGCCTGCCTCGCCCATATGTCTGCCAACGTCGCCCCAGGAAAAGCTCGAAAAGTTTTTTCGGCTGCCCTACAAACGCAAAATAGATGAGAATCAGAATTTTTTTGTTGATAATCGTACACACGTGGGAATCCATGAGCCGCGCCTATTTGACAGGTACATTTGCTATCTCTCTTGGGTGGCATCAAAGCACCAAAAGCAGCATTCGCTTTTCAAATAGAAAAATATTTTTGTTCTTACCTTATCTTTTTTGCCGCTTTTAATTTTTGAAATGTTCAAAAAGTTTTGTCGACCTTTTTTTATAGGTCGACCAAATTGATTTTCTGAGCACCCTCAAAACACTGTACAGACTCTAACTTGACCAAATTTAAAAAAAAAAAGGCCAAAAAAGGCATTTTTAGGCACTTTTTAAAAAATTTTGACCAAAAAAAATTGCGTTTTTCTGGCGTGCGCTCTCCCATCAAAATTAGTATTGATAGGCGCCAAAGGCGCCTTTAGAAAAATTTAGGCCAAAAACGGATTTCTCAAAATAGTTCAAAGGGGGGACCCGTTGGGTCCCTGAGAGAAAGCGTCCGCCGCCCTCCCCCCCTAAATCCGCTACTGACCTAGTTGTCACTTTGATAGTCTTCTTAATTCAATCTAGTTAGTCGTCATTTTCCATAAATATTGCAAGTTGTTTTTGTCGCGAGTTGTCGTGTTACGATTTTCTAGCTGCGACACAGTTCTAGCTATTCTTTCTTCTGTTCTAGCGGAGACCGTGTGTGGTTCTGATGGCAACACTGTTATTCACCATGCAGTGTTAAATGACAGTGTCTCTTTTCTCCAACACATTCTTAACTTCTTCCCCCTCGTGAACAAACCCAACTGCTCCAACATGTGTGCAATCCACATTGCTGCTAAACTGAACCAAGTTGAGGTCATGAAGGTGAGTCATCCGAGTTTGGCCATTTTTCATCTTGAAATTTAGCGAAGAACTTTTTGAAAAAATCATTTTAGAGAATTTGAAATGCTCGTAGAGTCATTGATAAAACTAAACCTACAAAATAATTAGTATGAAATGCGCCTTCAAAACCTATGGGTTTCACCACTTACACATACGTTTTTTGTAAACTATCAAAAAGTTTTTTTTCTGCTCGAAACTAAATCAGAAGGTATCACAAGGGCCCATATCGACATTTATTTTGAGTAGCAGTTTAACTCAGCATTTTAAATTTTTCTATTTAATTGCAGAAATCTATCACAATTGTAGGTGTTGCTAACTTGTCCTCGGATAGACGTGGTTGCGAAAGGAGACAGAGGCAGGACTGCACTGCACTATGCTGCAGAGATCGATGCCGTAGAGATAGCCACGCTGCTGGTGAGATAAAAAAATATATAAAAAGATGTTCAAAATTGAAAAAAAAAAACATTCAGATAAGGATTGAAAAGCACTTTGAAGAAAATCTAATTTTTAATGTTTTTTTTTGAATTTTTTGGAATTTTTGCCTCAAAAAATGTTGTTTTGTTACGTAACCAGTTTCTCAAATGACGCGTCTATAAGCTTGTATTGATTTTTTCTAATCTTTTAGTACGCCGAAAGTTGAATAGGATGAATTTTGTTGCCGGTTTTTGCTTTTTAAGCTCTAATTGTGCGACGGTTTGAATTTTAAAAATGAATTCTAGAGCAAAAAAACGTAAAAGTAAAAAAGTTAAACACGTAAAAGTAAAAATGTTTTAAGTAAAAAACTACACATTTTTGAGGAAACAATTGTTGCCACTTTTTCGGGAAAGCCTATGTAGTGGTACCACTAATCAAAGATCATCAATCGAGATTCAAAAAGATACACAAAAAGGAAATGTCTACGAAAATATTTAATTTAATTTTTGAAAAAGGGGAGGAGGTTTGTAATCAAAAATCAGGTACCATCGGACTGCTTTGTCGGAATGGTTTGAGTGATGGATCACATCAAAGCCGTTTCAATGGTGATTCGAACAACATTAAACAATTTCCCAGAATTTTTCTCAGTGTCGAGAAAAATCCGTTTGAAATTTTTGATTTTTGGTTTAATTTCGAGCGAATAAGTAAGCGTGAGCAGTTTATTTTTTTTAATCAAAAGCAGATAACAAAAATAATTATCAGAATGGATGGAGTGATATAACATATGCAAATTTTTTCAGCTTTTATTGAACGAAGTTAATAACTTTTTCTAAGAAAAAAATTCCAGGAAATAAAGCGAGCAAACAGGTTTATTATAGAAGGAAAAGCATTGCACCTTTAACTTAACTCTTGATGAGATTTTTTTGAAGTTTTCTGGCACCGTTATGGGAATGAAAAACTTCATAAATCCAAAACTGATTGTTCAGAAATTCAAAAAAAAGTTTCATGTTTTTGGTTTCCTCAATTTTTTTTACAAAAACTGTTGCCCCATTTGCCAACTTTACTGTGACTGTCAAGTGTGATCCAGGCTTTCGTCAGATCTTTTGATCGCGCCACGCACAATCAAAAAGACACTATTTCTAAGTTTGAAAACATAGAAAAAATATCTACTGTATTTTCAAGAATATAGTCGGAACATTCTGTGCTACTTGCACAGCTACCGACCATCCTAGTTATATTTTAATTTCGGTGTTGGAGAAGCGCCCAAATAAACTTCAAAAATTATGTTTTAACCGACAAAAGTTTTACTGTTCATTGCATAATTAAATGATTTTAGATTTACTTGTTCGCTTACTTGCTCCAAATTGACTACAGGGTGTTTTAAAAACACGTATTTCTTGAATTATCTCTCATATGTGACATATAGTTTATTGAACCTATTTTTTTGCAAAAGGCAGCAAAAGGCAGCAAATTGCCAAAATCTGTTGTTTTCTCACATTATGTTGTATTGTTTCTAGTTAACACATTTTTTCGTTGCCTATTTAGTTTTCACTGCATTTTGTGCTTAGCAGTCTAATATCATCTAATATGAACTCAACTCAAGTTTGTTTGAAGTTTGAATTATTTAGTGTGCACATATAACTAACAAGCATCAGTCATAAGATACTCCAGGGATCGAGCTCATGGGCCCCAAAGGCCCTCGAGGAGACGTCCCATAAGATAGACTTTTACAAAATAAGTTGAGGAGAAAGAAAAGGCAAGATTTAGATCATTTGCCAAATATCAGGTGAAGGAGTTCAAAATGATCTGGGACAAAATTACGTTTATTTTTTGAGATCAATTGAGATTTTAACATATTTTTCAAAATCTCTGGAAAAAGACTATTGGCCGAAAAAAAATTGTAAAACTTGAGCACTTTAATGTTAACCGATTGTAATAAGCAGTTAGATCTAACAGATTTTGAACGTAACATTCTCAAGCTACGGGCATGTGTTTGTCTACAGGTATTTAGTTGATTAAAGTTCAAAATCTGTAATTGCAATTCACCAAGTATTTGATAAAAATATTCTTTAAAAGCAGTATCTAGAAACACGTCAAAAACAGTATGAATATTATAATCTGAAAAATTTTCCGTAATGTGATCAAGTTTGCGCTTAAAGAAAACAGCTCTGAGAATTCGCTTTTGCTTTAAAAGAATTTTGTTTAATTTTGTCTTGGACGCACATCCAAAAAGTAAGATGCTGTATGATTTTAACAGTTTTGCATAAACTTGATAAAACCTAAGAAGAAATGACCTAGAAAAAACCTCCCTTGCTTTATAAAGAATTTCATTAAATTTAGCTAGCTTTTTACAAACATGATCTATGTGTTGCTCAAAACCGAGCTTATTATCTACCACAACCTCAAGATACTTGAAGGAGTTCACAGCATTAAGTTTCTGATTTACCAAAAATATTTCAGATTCTTTTGAACTCCTTCCGAAATTGGATACTTGCATTTTATCAATTATGATGTTTAGTCTATTATTTGTGCACCAATTTGCAATCAATTTAAGTTCCCGATAAAAATTTTCATCAATCGAATTGTTTTTGCACGTAGTAGCAATCGTTGTATTATCTGCAAACAGCCAAATTGAGCTTTTCGTTACTCTCTTAGGCATGTCGTTAATATAGAGACAAAACAGCAGTGGACCTAAGACAGATCCTTGGGGAACTCCGAACTTAATACTCTTTAAATGAGAGTTTTTTCCACAAAAAGAACATACTGTTTACGATTGGTTAAATAAGACTGCAGAAAAGTGTTTATTATACCGCGGAACCCATAGAGATCTAATTTGGTTAGTAAAACAGAGTGATCAATTGTGTCAAAAGCTTTTTTAAGATCTACAGAACCCGCTAATCCTGATTTTTTACCCTCTATACAGTGACGCATTATTTCGATTTCAGAAGTTATTGCATGCACACAAAAATATCTGTGCCGGAACCCAAACTGTTCAGACACTAAAAGCTTGCATTTTGATATAAATCTAATCATGCGAAAGTGTATTATTTTTTCAAATTTTTTTAAAGAGAACTTAGTTTTATTTGATTTTTGAAATCCCAAATGAGCCTTGTATCAACTTGCCCAGCCTTAGCTGCGGTGAATACCGAGACGCTCCGAACAATGCGTGAGCAGAAACATTCAAATATAATGAAAAAAAAATCACCAGAGATCGCAAAGTTTAGCTTCCTTGGAAGGAAGAGATTGTTAAGTAGATCCCTACTTTTTTCAAGGAAATGGATTAACGCTTTCAGTAAGCAAGTTTTGTTATGATGAAACCCGCAGGAAGAACAGTTTTCCCATAAAATATATCATGATCTTTATCAAACTTTTTTTCAAAAAAAGATTCTTTCAACCCAGTTTATTTGACCATTCAAACGATCGACATATTTTGATGTTGTAATCTGCTGAAAAATTGTGGCTAAATAATCTAGAGTGGGACAACAATTTTATAACGTAACATGCGTAATTGATGACAGCTTGTGCTGCAGGATATGTAATGGCCAAACTACCTCTCTTATTTTTTTCCTCTCTAATGATTTTTTTCTGTGTAGATGAATAATGGGGCGTACCCATGCATCGCCTGCTCCTCTGGATACAGTTCTGTTCATGTGGCAGTCCTCAACGGGGCCAGGGACACCCTCAACGCCATCATACAACACTGCAAATATCTCATCTATCTAACTTTTTCTTTCTTTTTTTTGCTCCGGAGGGATACGGTGTATGATGTTTTATTCCGGCAGGGTTTCATTAACCCAAAGAAATCTCAGAGAGGTCAAGTGATACCCTCCTTGTGATACTTGTCATCCTTCGCATTCCAAAAAAGTCAAAAAGTTGATTCAGTAATAAAACATTTTTTCTCAGGTTTATTTTGGTTTTCAGACTAAATTAGACAAAAATGATTAAGAGTCTGACCTTAGTTTTGCGACAACTTTAAGTTAAACCAGCAAAATCTCCACAGAATTGAGCAAAAGTTTTGAGCAAAATTTTGTACACAAGACAAACCTCCAAAAGAGCAACAGATAGCTAAGTTTACTCGCGTAGAGTTTTGACCGCAATTTTTTTTTTCATAACGGGAACATTTAAATTTTCTCCCGCGGGGATAAAAAGTATCATTATACTAAATTCCCGCCAATGTTTTATCCCTTATTATTCCGACTTTCGGTAAAAAAAATTTTGAGCTCACTGTGGTTTTTTTATTCAGTCAATTTTCGCCGCTCGAAATAATAGTTTTCAACAAAATTGTATACACCATTGAAGGTATCGACTTTCTGAGCTCAAATTGAAAAAGATATTTTAGCTCCGATAATTTTTCGTAAAGTTCTGAGGATTTGAAAATTGACAAATTGGCCATGTTCTGGACTAAATTATGCGCGCTCTGAAGAGTTTGCTGATAATGTTGAGAGCGTAACGCGAATTATTTGCCTTTGGCAAATTATCCCGCACAACAAAATTGTTCCAAAATGAATTGAGGCTAGCTACGGTCCTATTATAATCGATATACGTCAATTTTATTGTTACTAAAACTCGAACAAGACTGCTCGTATCAAGGCGAAGCCCTGAATGTTCCGACTGCCTTTTGAGGTTTCAGGAGCAGTAATTACCAAAAAATATATGATGTAATAAGATGAAAAAAAAAATTCTGAATTTTGAAATTCATCCCACTACACGCCATATTAAGTACGAAAGGATAGATTTCGCTCCTTGTAGCAAATCAATTATGGCATATAAGCTTCTTTCAACCAATTTTGAACGATTTCTAAGACGGATTAAATCTCCACTTACGCTTTAATCGCGCGAAATTTATCGCGCGTTAATTATCCCAAATTGGCCAAAATGGCAATGTGTAAACCCCCACAACTTTGCGGAAAAACGATCACAGGTGAAATATCTTTTCAAATTTAAGCTCAGGACAACAATAGCTTTCGAATGATATTAAAAATGTTTGTCAAATATGGCTAGTTAAAAAGTCGAAATTTGTTTGAAGAAAAAAAAACCCACCCCGAGCAAAAATATTCCGTTACTTTCGTATCGAAAGTCGGAACAAAAAATTTTAACCAAACAATTACTAAATTTAATTTAAATCAATTGCAAATAAGTTAAAGCTTTTTGTTCCCCCTTTCGTAACGAATGTAACGGAATATTTGTGCTCGGGGTGGTTTTTTTTTCTATAGACACATTTCGCCTTTTTAACCAGCCATTTTTGACGGACTTTTTTTCATATCATTCGAAAGCTAAATGTTGTTCTGAGCTTAAATTTGAAAAAATAATTCACCTGTGATCTTTTTTGCAAAGTTATGGGGGTTTAAAGATTGCCATTTTGTCCGATTTGGGACTGTTAACTCACGGTATGTTTCGAGCTATTAACGCGTAAGCGGAGATTTAATCCGTCTTAGAAATTGTTCCAAATTAGTTCAAGCAAGCTTATATGCCCTAATTGATTTGTTAATAGGAGCAAAATCCATCACTTTTCACTTAATATGGCTTGTGGGGGGATGTTTTTACAAAAGTTCTCAATTTCTTAAAATCTTATTTTATTTTATTAAATTTAAATTTTTCATGTTATTACTGCTCCATATACCTTAAAAGGCAGTCGGAACATTCAAGGCTTCGCCCTGATACGAGCAGTCTTGTTAAGCTTCATTTTCGAATCAGATTAAATCAATCTTAATTTGATTCTAATCACTTTCTTAAAGTATTTGCTACATTAACTGTATGAAATTGATTGCAAAGTGAAAAAAAACCACATTACTTAGCCTACATATTATATACGTTATTTTGTTTCTATTTAGCATTGTACTTTAAAGAATTTTGAAGTCTACCAATAAATATAGGGCAGAAACATTAATGCTGGCCTACAAGTTAATATTTAAGGTACATGGCGGAGAGAAAAGTGTTCATTTTTGGTGATCTCATTAAAATTTAATAGTCTCTTGAATGTCAAATTAAGGTATAATTTTAGCATATTCGACTCATAAAAGTTTGAGCAAGAGCTTAGCAATTTGCATAAAATGAACTCTCGCAGTTCAGTTAGAAGCGACTGTTTCTTAAAAAATTAAAGCCGAAGAAACTCGCGTTGAAAAAAACCTCAACTCGACACCCAAAAATATATCGAAAAAATTGAAAAATCTTTATACATGCAACATGTTCTCTCCAATTTGAATTAATTTCCATTGAGTTTTGTAATATTTTGTACTTCGTTGCACTCCCTCTAGGCAGTAACTTCGGTTACACGAAGGAGAAGGTGATGAACTTCTGTGACAAGAACCTCTCCACTCCTCTGCACGTCGCAGTCAGCAACGGAGACGTCGAGGTGAGTCATCGTCAAATTTATTGTTTTATTTATCGTTTGGCCTTAACTTTGTTGCTCTGAACGAAGAGACAACAACCAACAAATTGCGGACAGGTTTGAATTGTTAACCAACCAAAAATTAAGCTGAACCAACACCTCAAACGTCTAACTGTGGTATCCAATTTTCGAAGTCAAAAAAAGTAAATCTAATAACATTTTTTGTTTTTCTTCCCAATTTCTAGTTTCGGTTGAAAATCCCTAATTTTATCTTAGTACAATAATTATCAACAATTGTTTGTTAGTACATTAAAAAATTGTTTTACTTTTTTGCAGCAATTTTGCTCTTTTCTACAAACTGTTTTGTTCATTAGCTTTGCAGTGCAGTTTATTTGAACAAGTTCGTTTGTTTCAATCAAAACAATAGTCCTCAATGTTTGAGGAAAAGTGAGTGTTTTGGTTTAGTCGGTGAAGATCTGTCTGGAGTTCGGGTCCAAACTGTGCGGTCGGATGGAGGACGACTCCACTTCGGTCCACTTGGCAGCCGCACTCGGCCACGACAAGATCCTCACCCAGATTATCCAGGCCACAAACAAGGAGGAGTTGGAGAGTGTGTTCTCGGCACAGGACTTCCAGGGCATGACTCCACTGCACAGGTTTATACTGGACTGTAAAATCTCGTCTAAGATGCATGAAATGTGAACAAAATCTGAATTAGTTTTCGCATAAGAAAGTTACTGAAAAAGAACTAAAAACGTATTTTACTTGCATCAAGAAAAACTTCAAATTGTCAGCCCCTTCCCCCTCAGGTATGCTAATACCTTCAATTATAACATTAGGAGATTTGTGTACTCAGAGGAAATATTAACTTATAAGCTTTAAGTTTCTCTGTTTTGTTGATCAAAAAAAATCATAGAAAAATTAGAAGCAAGCTGAAAATTATGTTAAAAATTTCAAGAGTTTGTGTTCTTCTTTTAGCGCTGCAATGTTCAATCAGATTGATGCGGTCAAAATTCTAGTCGAAAATGTGAGTCAAATTTTCGATTGTTTGATAATTTTTCTTTGTAGTTGTGTTTCTATTTTAAAGTTGTATCGCTTTTTGATGACAACTGAAATTTGGTCCTCAATTGGACAATTGAAAAGTTAAAAATCTCTAATTTTGACCGATTTTGACCAAATGAATTTTGCAGAATGTTTTCTGTTTGTAGGGTTGTCCGTTGAACATGCAGGACTCGCAAGGGAACTCTGCGCTGATGCAGGCCATCATCAGAGGCAGCGAGGAAGTGGTGGAGTACCTGAAGGAGGTCAGTGACCTCACTCTGAGGGACACTCAGGGCAGGAACATGATACACTTGGCCATGCTGCACTCCACCAAGAGCAACAACAACATATTCGCATTCATAAAGGTACATCGGTCCATTTTTCACCCATTTGAACCCACTTATCTATAACTGAACGTACTCCATGCGAAGTGCAATGTGTACCTCAGATTTGAGAACAATCTGACATAATAATACCTGGCATATTTTAAAGAGAACAAGACTGCTCGTGTCAGTAGTTTTTTTGAAATGTTCCCCTCACGCGCTATGTAAAGTTTAAAGTGATACTTTGTGCGCATAATAGAGGTTCAATTATAGACAACGTAGTTTGCTTAAATATTTTGAGCCTGGTTCATTTGAGACTTTCGTGGTATAGAACGAAACATAGTGTGTATAAGTTATCACAAATTGGTCGAAATGACAATTTGTTTGACCAAAAATGCTTGCAGGAAAAATATCTTCTTAACTTTTAGGTTATTGTAAATTATTTACTTTTGCGGAAAGGTTATTCATAAAAAAGTACGAAATTCGTATATGCTTTACTCGGTATATGCTTTTTATTACCGTAGAGATTTGTCACAATTCTACCATAGGCAAGGAAAAAATAACAAGGTCCATCCGCACAGAAGTTTTAAGTATAAAAAACGATTAAAATGGAAAACAGTTCTCTAAAATGTAATTTCAATCCATTATTTTTGCAATATTCGACCATTAAATTGCAAGACTGCTCGTATCAGGGCGAGGCCGTGAATGTTCCGACTGCCATTTAAGGTCTATGGAGCAGTAATAACATGAAAAATTAAATGTAAAAAAGTAAAAGGATTTTTTTTAACTTGAGGTTTTTTAAAAAATTATCCCTCCGCACGTCATATAAAGAACAATAGTTTTCGCACATAGTAACAAACCAATTATGTCAAATAAGCTTCATTCAACCAATTCGGAACGTTTTTTAAGACAGATTAAAACTACGCTTACGCGTTATTAGCTCGAAATATATCGCGCGTTAATTGTCCCAAATTGGCCAAAATTGCAATCTTTTAACCTCCATAACTTTACAAAAAATGATCACAAGTAAAAAATTTTTTTCAAATTTAAGCTCCGGACAACAATACCTTTTGAATGATATTTAAAAAATTCTGTCAAAAGTGGCTAGTTAAAAAGTCGAAATTTGTCTGAAGAAAAAAAAACCCACCTCGAGCACAAATATTCCATTACTTTTGTTATTCAAGTCGGAACAAATATATAGTAAATGTTATCATTACTTCAATAAAAACACTCTCCATTAAAATCAATCAAAAGTGATTATGATTGATTTAGAATCCATTAGATTGGTTATAAACGATTGAAATCTCTATACTTTTTGCAAAATTATTTGCAAAACTTAAAAAACTTCTGCTATACTTCTGCAAAATCTAAGCCCAATCAAGTTTTATGTAAAATGCGCGCCTAACCCTACCCCATCTCTTATCCGTTCACGTGTTCAAAAAAGCTACTACTATATGGTTATAAGCGAGGGTGGTGGGATCAAAGGGAGGATGTAAACGAGGGGGGGTGATTTTAAACATGGGTAAGGGTGTAAAACGTGGGGGGGGGGGGGAGGAGAGGGTGTCATTTGCAGGAAAAGTTTATGAAAATTTCGTTTTGTCTAATTTTACTAACCGGAAAGCAACTGTTAACTTTAGAAAGGACTGCAATGTGAGTCTAAATTTTTTCTAAAAAATTACAAAAAATTAATAATAATAAGCTTCATTTATTAGACAGTAATTAAATAATAATCCATTACTGATCAATTTTTTTCTTAATTTTAAAATTTTTATGAGACTGAAAATGATACCCTATATAATTGGTTATTAAAGTTGTTTTCATTTTCCGGGAGGCCCTATATAATCGGTTATTAAAGTTATTTTCATTTTCTGGGAAAAATTTTTTCAGGCTCTAATATGATTTTTCGCGGTTTGACTGTTGATTTTTTTTTCAAGATCCTATCATTTATTTTTAAAAAAGACGCAAACTCCACTATAAAACAGTGAAAAGTTAAAAGTCACAAAAAACGTGATTGGCTTCCAATCTCGAGGACGGAAATTCATTATCAGATTACTTCAGCAAAAAATTTTTTACATATTGATCCAAATTTCTCAAATTGGGTTAATTTAATCACAGAAGTGTCAATGATAAGTTGTTTTAGAGAATATTAAAGAGAGTTAAATTCATATATTTTTTCCGGAAAATCAAAAACTGAGGAAATGTTTTCAAAAGATTAAGTCAGTATTTTTGTTAACTTGCGTTCATGACTCTTTTGCAACTGTCTGGTAGCTACGTTTATCCTTGGAACTCCAGTTCGGGCATAACTAAACTCAGCAAATCAATTTTTTTTGGACTGTAACAAAAACCCCATCAAATCTAGTTGAAAAATTGAAAGATCTCTGAAAACAAACTTTAAGCAACGATCATCGCTTGAATCCAAAACAGTATCAAATCGTTCATAGCAGATTATCTAGTAGCAAAAAGAAATTTTTAAACAAGGATAGCCGGTTACTGTACAAGTAATACAGAATGTTCCGACTATAGTCTTAAAAAAGCACAATTTCTTTGAAAATTAATGTTTTTTGGCGTGGTGTGATAAAAGGAGCTTGACAAAAACTAGATATTAGACATATTCGACAGTCGTAGTAAAGTAAGCAAACTAAGAAACATTTTTTGTGGAAAAATTATTTCTGTTTAATTTTGCATTTTTTTCAATTTTTGAAAATTTTGGCTCCAAAAACGCGCTAAAATACTCAAAGTAAACTAACGTTACTTACGTTTTTATCTATTATAGCTTTTAAGCAATTACATTAAGAATGCTTGCTCGCTTTATTAGCTCGAAATAAGACGAAAAATCAGAAATATCAAACCGGTTTTTCTCGACATTGGGAAAAAATTTTCAAAAAATTTTAAATGTGGTTCGAATCATGACTGTAAGACCTTTAGCTTGATGTATCGCTCAACCGATTCCGATGATTATTTGTGGTTCCTGATTTTGCGTGGAAATAAAAAAAACTAAAACAGACCCGATTACAAAGTTCCTCCCCATTTTCAATGATTGGAACAATAAAATTAGCATAAATTTTCAATAATTGGAACAATAAAATTAGCATAAATTTTGGCCCGAAAACTCCAAAAATTCCAAGCCGGAACTTGGCACTTAAAAACCTGTATACTTTTTTCCTTTTTTTGAAGTAAATTTGGATATTTGCTATCACTTTTGGAGTTTTTGCAGGTCCGATATAAATGTCAGCTCTTTATTTGGTAACAAAGAAAAGTTTTCAGCTCATGGCACAGATTGTTGTCAACGCAATTATTTAACGAAAAATATTTAAAGGTAAAAAAATTCTAAAGCGTTTTTTTTAGTCGTCTTTGAGTCGCGAAAACCCATCCAACGCCATAGTTTGTTTCAATTTTCATTTAAGACCATTTATCCGAGGGAAAGGACCACCATACGAGCTGTACAGCTCATCACGGCGAACCGCTGTTGTGCCCCTGCTGGTTATTTTTCTGGGTTGGGTAATGTTGCCTCACCCTCAAGCAACCAGCACGGATCATGATGGACCTCGAAGATCACTTCAATCAGTTCATGGGATACTGTGAACAAAAAAAACGACAATAAAAATTGTTTTAGAACTCGATGGAGGAGTGCAATTACGACCGCGAGATATCGGCCATAGCGCGCAAGGATGGAAAAGAGGTTAAAAAAGGAGGAGCTTGGACGATGTTGGAGGAGAAGGACAATTTTGGATGTACTGCCATCCACTATGCAGTGCTGGGAGGGAGACTGAAGTCTTTAGGGTGGCTGTTGAATCTGCAGTGTCCGGAGGCCATGGTGCAGTCGAAGAGCAACTTGAATGAGTTTCCACTGCACTACGCTGCACGGTCAGATTGCAGCTACCAACATTTTTTATACGCCGCACGGTCAGATTGCAGCAAACAAAAACTAAAAAAAAAAAAAACGTTTTACTGAACACCAACAGATCAAAGGAATAATCAAATCGCTCTCTTTTGTCCTGGTCATCATCTATATTATAATTTCTATTAACAATGGTTTGTTTTACCTTTGACGAATTAAACGATGAAATTAAATTAGGCAGCTTCTGATTCAGAGGGCTTAACATTCCGTGGAAAATTCGATTGCACGGCAATGGGACCTACTTAGAATGAATTAGAGGATGAATATTTGGAGTCCATGTTCAACCTCCCAAAGCAAATAAAAATAACACCGCTTAAAACAGCATAAAACTGATGTTTTTGCAATGTACCGAAAAAATTAAGAGAGAAAAATATTAGAAAAAAAAATAATTCTAAGCAGCTGAATCTTTAGACTGGGTCGCTACAATGCATGTGTGAATCTGTTAGCTACTCGTGCGGGTATGTTGATGTTGAACTCGAGGAACCACAGAGACCGGACTCCAGTGATGCTGGCAGCGGCCAACGGATACTCCAAAGTGGTCAAACTACTCATCTCAAGAGGGGCCCTACTCGTACACAAGTCAGTTCAAACTTCATTCTTTCTGAACAAATCTGAATTGTTTTATAACTTGTTGCCTTGATCCATGATCTTGGTCTGAAAAAATGTATATTTTAACTCGTGTTTTTATCCATGTATATCCATGTATATTCTAACTCGTAAAGAAACTGCGGTTTTTCAAGGAGACTTTTTTTATGAACTCCTTATATGAAACTGAAGGACTAGCCTTTTTCTTGTATGGAGATCAATCCGATGAAAATCACTTCTTTATTGAAAAATAGCTCAAAATTTTATTTTTCAAACTTTTAATGAAATACAGCGTGTCAACATTTCATTGGGCGTTTATTCCAATTTTAAGCTTTTTGTTTAATTGAGTGTTTTTTTTCTCAAAAATTGAGTCGAACAATTGAAAAACTCAAAAATTACACCGAAAATTTGAAGTCTTACTCAAGGTAGACTTATGACTCAGGGTCGCTTAGTTTTTGTTCACATTCCTATCATGACCAAAGAATCCGCAATCAATTTGATAAGCCGATTACACAGATTTTACTGATTTGAAATTTTGTCTCATGATTTTAGTAACTACTCGTAAAAATTCGTGCTTTGTATTTCTCAATTGCTTGATCTTGTTATGGATTATGACGGTTAAAAAAAGTTGCCCGGGAATTGATAAGCTCACTTTCATATCATTTTGTTCCCTTTTTCAGTGACCTACAAGGATACACTGCACTACACTATGCAGCAGTGGGTGGATACACTCACACTATGCATGTGCTGTTGGGAACCAAGAAGACACTCGTAGATATGGCAGACAAGGAACAGGTGGGGGGGGGGGGGTATGAGAGGGGAACATTGCTTTTTTCAGAAAAATTTTTGTAATAGATTTTGACCACAAGAAATAACCAGAATAGCTAGCCAGAATATTCCAAATCAACATATAAATGAAGCAAAGTCAATTTAAGAGAAACCCATGGAAACAGTTGCGCAGTAATAATTCAAGCCAAAAAAATTCAAAATTCATGTTTCACTAAGACATGAGCATTATTTTCCTGATCTTGCTATTAAAAAAATGTTTTTGGGCAATTTTTTAGCTTCATGATTTGTTTTCGCTGAATTTTAGAACACAGCCCTGCATGTGAGTGCGGACAAGAACCAGCCTAAGTCAATTGAACTGCTGCTGACCTTGAAGTGTGCACTGACCTTGAACGAGTACGGACAGAGTGCCCTGGATCAAGGTAGGTTACATCACTCCAAGATAGATTACTCACTTTACTTAAATTAACCAAATTGTGGACACATATAGTTGAAATTGAGGATATAGTAATATCGAAACTGTCTAAGAGGATGATGCTGATGCGGATGAAAAAATATGTATGCTGAACAAAATGTTTCGAAAACTGGGTTTAACTAGCAAAACTTGAAGTTGTTTAGTTATTTTCTGGTTAAAATTTTTCATTAAGACTGAAGTGTATTTCTTAAATGTCACAACTTTAAGAAAATGCCTTTGGGGTAACTCAAGATATGTGAACATTTTTCCAAAAGCGAACGCTCATGTTACAATGCTAGTTTTATGTTTAAAAGAAACGGCGATTTTATGTTAAATAAGGTGCATAATTTTGTAAAGTGTAAACCGAATTTATGTTAAATTGTTGCATAAAAAATGCAAGCTATATTTGCATTTTCAAAGTTATAGTTCAAAAAGTGCATGAAGTTGATACGGCTTCATTTTATAAGGGCTGCTAAACTTTGGCATGTAATCATAGATTGAACCCAAGCCAGACATGTATAAAAACTGAACCCCAGACAAAACAAACCGCCCTAAACTTTATCTGATGATGCAGAAAAAGTTACTTTATGACAATGAGGCTGAAATATTTTCTAATAAACACTCATCAAAGAAAATAAGGATTCTCTGTTGCTGTGCAAGAACCACAGAATGATGCGATCACATTAATAAAAAGAATTACATGAAATAAAAACCACATTTATTATTCCTAGAAAAATTCTTACAATTTTTTCTCATAAACTACGAAGAATTTTTTTGTTCCGACCATTGAAAATGGGGAGGAACTTTGTATTTGGGTGTGTTTTTGTTTTTTTTTCACGCAAAAACAAGTACCACAAAATAAGGCTACTCGGTTGATGTGCAATAAACACAGAATGATGCGATCATATTAATAAAAAGAATTACATAAAATAAAAACAGTTCTTATTCCTAAAATTCCAAAATTTTTTCTTCGTTATGTACGAAGAATTTTTTGTTGTTCCGACCATTGAAAATGGTGAGGAACTTTGTATTCGGGTGTGTTTTAGCTTTTTCTTTTTTTTTCTTTTTGTTTTCCACGCAAAATCAGGTACCACAAATAATTATCAGACTGAGTTGAGTAATAAAGTTTGGCATGTAACTGGAATGTTGAAATATCTTAAATTTCTTTACTTTTTTTGTTTTTTTAGCCATTTTTCTAAAACGTATTTGGTCCAGTTGGCTTTTTTTTACTCTGACTGTCGAGTTTTTCTAAATTGAAGTTTTACGTCAGGTCCCTTTATACTAATTTGAAAAAAAAGTTACGGTCTACGCATGGTCCAAGACTATGGTTTTGTGCTATTTGCACAGTAACCGGCTATCCTTCTTTTAAATTCATTTTTTTTGCTATCGAAGCGCTAAGCGAGGCCTCAGAAAAAATTTCCCCTGGAGTAAATTAGTTTTCTCACAACTTAACTGTTAACTGTTTAATGCAAATTTTTCTTTGTAAAGCCTTCTCGCATGCTTTAATTGCTCGAAATTAAACTAAATCTAAAAAGTTTTAAACCTGGCTTTCTCTACACTTGGAAAAAGAAATGGTTAATGGCGTGGCGTTCAAATTGCAAATAGTTTTATAAATCACTCAAACGATTCCGTTGATTAATTGAGTTACCTGATTGTGCTTGGGAAACCAAAAGAAAATTAAAAAAAGTTTAGACACATCCAAAGATAATATCCCTGCGATCAATGGTTGGATAAATTTTTGTTACGTGTTGTCGGGCACTTTATGGTTCAAGAGTCATGGATTGCATTTTTTCCGGATCCAATTAAGATTTTCATGGAGTCAATTTTTCTCATCATTGAAAAAAAGCTAATTATGTACGGTAAAATTGTAATGCAATAAATACTAGAACAGTTAATCGTGTGTTTAAAAAAATTCAAAATTTAAAGTTTTGTTTTCATAAAGCGCATCTCAAATTCTACGTTTTCACCAAAAGCATCCCAAACTGTAAAAAAAAAACACTTTTGTAACATTTTTCAGTAAAGAAACTTTTTTTGAATATTTTCAAAAAAAAATTGTGCAGCGCATGATAAGCCTTTTGGCATACAAATTGTGTATGGTTTTGTTGTGCAAATAAAATTTAGCATCTCTGTTTTGATATAGTTCTAATTCTATATGGCAACTTAGAAGCATGATTTTTACTCTCTTTATTGGTGGCGGATGTTTCATAGACAATCCGTTATATGGCAGAGTTGTGAAAACATAAACCACCCACTCTAGATGTGGGGTAAGCAACATATAGGGCCGGTTCTTTTTTTCAGAGATTACTTACAGTTTTTAGTCTAATTTAAACAACTTGTAAACTCTTAGTCTCACTCCCTGAGGTCTTGGGTACAGATCTACATTGTTAAAAATGCACAAAAACATAAAAAGAGTTACCAAGACAACAAGTTTGCATTAACTTCTTACACGCTTGCGCTAACGCTCTAATTTGCAAAGCTATAGAAGAAGGTTTTAAATTAATCTAGGAGGTTCAAAGTTGCAAACTCAAAAAAATGTGTTGAGCTGTTTTATATAAATTAAACCAGATTTGATATGCCTTAATAGCGCTGGACGGTAAAAGACAATCAGCAGTGGAGGCGTTCTTCAATCACGAGAGATGGTTGGAAGTTTTCTCCTTCTTCGGGCCAGAACATGACTCACCCTTCAAAAAGGTCATACAGAATATGCCCGAAATGGCACAGGTAAATGTCAACAACCTTGATTTGGAAACGGTTGGGTAAAGAGAGAACAGTATCATCATCATCAGCGAAATCAAATAAGAGGAAATTTACAAGCTAAAATATTGGCTTTCATAGAATTAAAAAGAAACGGTTATATGTTTCCTGTCGAATGAAGGATACTAGGAAGATTATATTTTTTGTCGTTTCAATTCATTCAATATGTTTTGTTTTTCATTTAAGTTCATTCATTATGTTTTTTTTTCATTTAAATTTAGTGAATATGTTTTTTGTTCGTTCAAATTCATTCATTCTATTTTTTGTTTAAATCAGTTTTTTTTTCGTTTCAAATAATTTTTATATTTTTTTGTCATTTAAATTCATTCATTATGTTTTTTTTTGTTTCAGGCGTTAATGGACAAGTCAATTGAGACTTCGAACGTCAACCCAAATTGTCCTGACTATTGGGTAAGTTTTAAAAGTCAGAAAAGGAAGACTGCTCGTATGAGAGTTAATACCTGGTGGACGTTTTGAACTCGTTTCATTTATTTGTTGTATCATATCTAAGCTGACCTTTGACCTAGGTTCGGTTCAACTTCAACTTCCTGGTGCAGAGGTACTGCGGGGACACTTTCACCGAGGAAGAGATTGAACAGATTCCAGAAGAGCCATTCGCCATTCTGGAGGTCAGATGATCATTCATGAGTTGTTGCTATTGATACAGTTGATTATAAAGAAAGTTGATTATAGAGGTTCAAGAAAAGGCGCTTCCGATAAGTCTTGAACGGGCGAAACTAATTTGGTAAATGTCTTCCTCGAGAAAGTGGGCAGCGCGCGACAAATTACAGTTTTTGATGATACAAATTTGATACATCGATACTCAACTGCTATATGAATTACCTTAAAATGGAAAGAAAAGCTACATAACAAAAAAACTTGGTTTTTGTAAAAGTGAATAATGGGAGAACATTAATTATCCGTTTGTTTTGTAGATGATGGGCGAGCATGGACAAGAGGCACTGTTGGTACACCCCCTTTGCTCTTCGTACATGGAGGCCAAGTGGTAAGCAAACAGAACATAACACAATATTCTCAATTAGAAAAAAAACGAAAAAAAAAAAAAACTGAAGTTTAAAACACTCTCCATTATGTTCAAAGTTCGGTTTAAGTAAGTTCGGAAAATTTCTGAAAATTGTTATATTAATTCTATGCAGTTTGCGAGATGCTAGGAAGGTTTTTAGGTATTTGCAAAATGGTCAACAGGCCCAGCCCTTAAACAAAGCATATGGTATTACTCTTATGATAATCTTACACTTTTCGAAGTAGCCTGACTTTTCTCTTATCGGCTAACTGAACTATCTGCAATTTCAACCCTTAGGAAGAGGTATGGACAGAAGATGATAGTGTTTGTGGTCATACTCTACAGTCTGTTCTTGGGCTCCATTTCCTCTGTCGCCATTGACAAGATCAGACGGGTAGGAGTACCAAACAACATACTGCTCAAAGGGACGAACAATCCAAAGTACCAGGCACTTATGGACTCGTATCTGAACGTGAGTACGGCGAGCAAGGAATATCCAAAATAGGTGGTTGTTTAAATGAATAAGTGGCATTTAATCAAACAGAAAAAAACACACTTCAGTCGTTGGAACCTGTTTTTAAACCTTTTGTCTAACCATACTTGATAACTCTTAGAAAACTATATGACAGTTAAATTATAAGAAACTGCCCTATAACTAGATTTTGTACCGAGAACCAGAAAGTGACATTTTCTGCTTTTGTTCACGAGTTTTTTCTGAAAATGTTTTTTTTTATTTTTAACCGTTTCTGCCTGATGTTTTCAGGACATGAGTTGGTGGGTTCTGGGATGTCTCTACTTCAGCACCTGTGGCGCCATCTTTGACCTAGTCTCCATGTTCATGCTCTATTTATCCATCAGGGTCAGAAACCTTCTTTATTTTTATCAACTTTTAAATTTTTCAAAGCAAAATTTCAATGCAGTTTTTGAACAATTGTTTTCGAAATTGAGTTCGACCTCTGTGATATCCCCTAAAACTATGTGAAACTAAACTGAAATTAAAAGTAAATTAGTTGATTAGTTACAATGCTTATTTACTAGAAGAATGATTCAAATTAATGCTTGACTATAATATTTCAACAATCTAAAAGAGAGTAAATCAAGTAAGCAACATGCTATAGATAGTGAGTTATAACCGATGGTCTTAACTCATAGAGTAATTTCGGATAGGGTACACCGTCTGCTCGTCACGCTATCTTATTTTCGGCCGGATAGATTCGTGCAACTTCTTAGTCTAATACCGATCCTAATCTTACTCTTATACTATTCTAGTCTCAGGTTGTTTAACTAGTCTCTGCTAGGCTCAATAGATCTAGGGTATACTGGTTTATTGCGGCTGCTGAAGTTCTCTTGGAGAGGCAACTAATTTCTAAGTTAAATTCAAATCTCTCTGGAGCTGAAATTACAAGTAATTTTAGCACTTACAAATAAGTGGGTTGTTAGTTAGATGGATCATGATTGGTTAATATTAAATACTTTACAGTGGTAAAATATCTAATTTATCCAATCATAAAATGTAGTTTAGATCAGGTTCCACCCATCCGGGTTTTACAGAGTTTTTTAGAATAGTTTTTCTGCAATTCAAAGGATGGATGATAGACGTTGGTATTTGGCGAACATCATATTTCTTTTGGGTTCTTCTGTTAAAGAAGTTCCATGATCAATCGTTGTGTCTTCTTATGACAACGACTGGGTTTTCTCAACAAACTCAAATCTGATTTCAGAATGATTTGCTATGACAGGTTCTTCTGTTTCATGTAGAGAACTTCTTTTGTATTCAACCTAGTCTGGGAATGGCGTGGAGATTGTGCATGTAGGGGATGCCTGGTTACTCGGATCTGTACTTATACTTGAACATCGAGGTGGTCATTGGTCTAGTTCAATGAAGTCCTTTTCTGCGAAGTCAAGTCGTACTCTAAATCCTTTGAGTTGTGATTGTGGACGGCATATTGATTGTGGTTGGCCATTCTTTTTCGAGTGTAGTGGGGTCCTTCTGTCTTTGGATGTTCGTCTTTGATGTTGTATGCTAATCTATATACTGCAAGGTGTAATTTACATTTTATAAAGTTTCCATTAGTTTGGTGTTTTAATTATGATTTTGGTTAGTTGTTTTCACAAAAGCTTTTTGTTTTAGTTCGGTTATTTTGAAGAGTTACTCACCCTTGAGTACCTCTTATTAAAAATAGGAGTGTGGTCACAAAGCGTGGATGTAGCGCGGTGGGTTAGGCCGGCTATAGAGCATGCTCAGGACGTCCTCTCTGGTGGGTTAGGCCAGGAGTGGGAGTATGATTTCGTGCGGTTTTTGTGAGAGGTCCTGTTATGTGATAACGTTTTATGTTGGGTTTATTGTGGTTTTTCTTATGTTTCGTTGGTTGTCCTTTTTTCAAAAATCAAATTGTTTTTGGTATGGGTTTGTCTTTTGACTTTTTTGTGTTTTATTATTTCTTTCTTAGACTTTATAATAGTCTTCAAAAGAATAAATTATCCAGTTTCAAACTGGGTTAATCCGGTTTGAGTTCCGTTGGTTTCCTTTTCTTAGTCATGCTGTTATTCTATAATTTGTGGTGTTTAGTAAGCTGCATTGGTTAGTTTTGTTTAGTATATAATTCCTTTCCAACCGGGTTAAAGGAAAGTTTGAAACGTGTTATCGTGTGTTAGAGTTGTTGAGTGTGAAAGCTTGAAACTGAAATTCATTATTTAAACAATTCTTCGTGGGCGAGCTGTGCGAGTTTGGATAGAATTCTTGTGCGAGTGAATGAAAATATCAAAAGGTTAGTACTGCATTTTCGTTTTATCAATTTACTACATAGAATTTCAATTTTACTGCTAGTTTTTTGGGGAAAAATTAAGTTACAAATTTTCATCATTATTAGAATTACTGCTGTTAGGGAAATAATTTATAAATTAATTTACTACATTGGTATGATTTTTATTGAATTTATCAGTGCAAAATATTAATAGAGTTTTGAATGAAGAAGTTTTCTATTTTTTATTTTTCTTTTGTGTAATTTGTAGGTGATCGTGGGATGAAGACTAAAAATCTAAATAAGACATGGATAAGAATGGTTTGTATTTATTTCAAATTTATTAGTGAAGAATATGATAAATTATACTTACCTGTTAGTCGTCGGGGAAAAAACCGTGGGGGAAGATGTCGTGTATTATGTCGGAATTTGTTAGTAATTTTGCTAGTATGCGAATGATGTTTTTAGTTTGAAGCAGTGGCCAAAGCAATTGAAGTGCTTTAATAGTTTTTAGTTCTTCAGTGCCAACTGCAAACTCATAAGGTGTGTTTTGGATGAGATTATATAATTTGTGATTGTATTTAGTGTTGTGAATGAATTCTAATATCGGGATTTCTATAGGTTGGACAAATTCATGTGGGATAAGGAAGGGTCTGGATTCTTCTGCGTTGAAGGTCTTCGTGATGGGACAAAAAATATACATTTGGGTTATGGGATCATAATTGCGAAGAATACCGTGAAGGTTAGTATCTTTGATGCAATATGTGAAGTTAAGAAAAAATGGTGATGTGTATTTAGAGTTAATAAATTGAAAACGGTGGTGTGGTTGTCTTGATGGAGTGTGTAGATCAAAATGATTTTGTATGAATCGATAATATGTATATGTGTGGGTTTGTTTAGTGCGTAACATAATGTCGTGTGAGCAGTGCAAATCGCGTTCATGTGGTGCAAGGAAATTAAAGGTTAGTGAAAATAATTGAAATCTTTCTTTAAAACTTTCGTAAGCTTGTGTGTCGGTTAGTGCTTCAGAAATGACGTGGTCGAATTTGCGATCAAATATATTGAGTGTAAATACATATGGTGTTTTGATGAAAAATTTTTCTGTGATTTGTGGGTTAGCGAAACGATCATCATCTAAAAATTGGTCTTGGTTAGCTCGGATGATGTTGTGATCGTAATATTCTAGCGTATATTCGTTTGCTCGGGGTGCAGTGTATGTTTTTAGTGACTTTTTGTATCCTATATAAGTAAATTGTCTATGTGTTAGTGGTGTGGTGAGTCGATATAGCATATCTTTATTTCTTTCTATAACGATGTGAGTATTAGTTAAAGGTAGGCAAAGGGGGTTAGTAAAATGATAATATGATGTCCAATGAAGTGTAGGCATTAAAACTTGTTCATCTACAAAACTACGTGTGTCGTTAGTGTTGTTAGGAGTGTTCAAAGTATATTGTGGAAATGAAGGTAGGGTGATTGCTAAAAAATCTTTCGTGTTAGTGTGATTTGGATGATTAATATATTCACGGGCTGTTCCTGGTTTTGTTGGAAATGGATGGTTTGGGAATTTTCTTTTGAAAGTGCGATAAGCTCTTTTAGTGCTATTTGATGATTCGGTGGATGTGGATGATGGTGCTAATGATGCGGTATAAGCTGAAGAGGGTGTAGGGGTAGGTGGGTTTGATTACTCTATTTTGGATGAAATCTGATTTATAGTGGGGTTTTCAAGGTGGAAGGGTTGTTGTTGTAGGGTGATAAAATTATCTAGTTCCTGGGAGATTTGGGGAGTATCTGGAGAATTGGATGATCGGTCTGAATGAAATGAAGAGTAGGTTGGGGTGACTTGTGAAGCATAAGAGGGTGTAGAAATGGATGGGAGTGGGTTATTTGGTGGGATTGGTTGAAAAGGGGGTTTTGAAAAAACTGAGGAGTTGTTTTGAAAATTATTGGATGGAGATGGTTCAGAGTCTGCAAATTCATCAGGGGTTTCAATATTTGGGTTATTGAGTTGTGAAATGGAGTATAAAACTGAGATATGTGAATTAGTGTCTGAATTCATGCCTGATGTTACATTATTGGTTGGGAAATCGGGTGGCGGGAAAGCAAAAAGTGGAATTATTGTAATTGGAGTGTTGAGGTTGGTTGGGTGGGAATTTGAGCGGTGTAGGGGTCCAAGTTGTCGGCTCATCGTGGGCTAAAAAAATTATTATTTTGAGACTGAAAAGCGGTGGTATGGGGTTGTTCTATAATTTGTTCATATGTATTTTCATCTAGTGAATGATGTGTCATTATATGTTGAATGGGACTTTGTGATATGGTTGGTCTAAAATTTGGATTATGTGTTATTGCTAGATTTCGAAAATTTCGTGGGGCTAGGGATAATGGATGGTTATGTGGTAGGGGTGGTAATTGTGGTGCTGTGGGCGTTATTTCTACATTGTTATGTTCTTCGTCATATGTGTTTTGTCTTGTTGCTATTTTTGTGTTGTATTCTTTTATTTGTGCGTCTAAAAGAATTTTGTTTATTGATGATGAAAAAATTCCAAAAAATCCTGCAAATAGTATGCGTGCTACACTTGCTTGTCTATTTACTTGTGTGTGTATAGCGCATGTATTATAGATTCCTTTTAAAAGTGAAAAAAAGAAATCCTATAAAGTTAAACATTGCGTATAAAATAGTTAATTTTTCTAAGATGTAATAGGGCCATCCTAGAAAATCAAGAATTTCATTTTTGAGTGTAACAAAGCAAAAAATATTTATAGGTGAGATATCTTGTGGTCGGTATTTTTCACCGTTTAGATATATATAATCTTTAATGTCTTTAAAATATCCGCTATAGTCTTGCGTATAGATGTCTGCAAATCCTGCGGTTTCGGCAAGTTTGCGTAAGTTTTGGTCAATTGATTGTCTTTGTATTGTGTCCATTTGTGTTAATAATTCTTGGAATTGTTGTGTTCTAATGTGATGTTGAATATCTGATTTTGAGTATATTCCTATTGATTGTAAGTCCATATTTGGGTTTCGAGCGATAGCGCGAATGCTTTCTGGTGAAAATTTTTTGAGTGATTGCATTAATGTGGGATATGGGGTGAGAAGGTAATATTTATCTTCATCAGGGTT